CAAACTAAAAACTACTTCCAGAAACATTCAGCTTTGATATTAATGAGTTTTTTGGGTTCATTGAGAACATGGTTGTTGTTCAATAATAACATTATTCCTCAAAGATACAACTTGCCTAATAATTCTGCACTCCCTGTATATGGGCCGATATGGACGTCTGTAATTGAGCTATACATAAATCTGAATGAATTGCATCTATTTTGTGTTATCAGGTGAGGTGCCATTCAGATTAAGCTGATGCTTTTCAGTTAGATCATTTCTTAATATATGCACATGGCAACTAAAGCCAGATTACAAACAACACAACTGTCCTTCTATTAACAGGACAGGAGGTACTTGGATACAGTCCGGTACTTTGTAGCCTGGTTGATATGTGTACATTATGAACTGCTGGACAATTCTCCAGCAGACCTTCATGTCAGCCACGGTTACTAGGCAGTTTCTGGAGCAAATACTAAGTTTCAGTTGTCTTTTCAAGCACATGTGTGATGCATGTGCATCATTAATCATCCTGTGATGTGTAACAGTTAAGTGAGTCTAATGTTCTGCTCCGTTTAAACAACAGAAGAGAAGAAACAAAAACATTCCTGGTTTGCATCCCAGCTGGTGGTTAACTTGCTTTGTTGCATTCCGAGCACTCGCTCACTTGATATTGTGATGTAGTCTTCTGCTGATGGTTTGGGTTCTTTTGTTTTCGTCAGTGTTTGCGATCCATCTGCCTGTCAGTTGGAATGAACCAGCAAGAAGCCCATAAAGATATAAAAGATGAAATTGAGCAGAATGTTTAATCAGGTTGTTTTTAAATGTGTCGCTCCCCCCTCTTCAAAATGATTCCAATGTGACCAGAAAAAACGATTCTTCTCCCTTTACGGAAATAGCTGGTCTTTTTTCGGAGGTTGTAGCAGTAATTTAGCGTTTTGTATGCGTGTATGTGTTTTTAAAGATCCACAGGTTGCTAAGAGATATATTTTATACTTATTTATTGTACAGACACTCTTGATGTAAATCTACGAGGGACTTGTTTTGAGTTGTAATGTTATTACTGTCCTGTATGTATACTGGATGTAGGAAACAAAAACCATCATAGGTCCACTTATTGCATACATGCCTATGACTCCTGGTATAGTTGCCTTGTTTTAACTGTATACCAAATGGATGTGTTGTATAAGTGGCTAAGGTGATGAAACTCCATGACTCTGAATTTCTTTGAGGATTTTTGCACATAAATAAAGACAGTTTGTCTGCACATCTCTGTGTCCCTGATTAAACCAACACAGTGGACCCCAGCGTGACTAGCAACCACAGCAATGGACGTTAACTGGGATACAATACTGGGATGAACAAAATATAATTTTACTGCTTAAAAAACACAAAATCAGAGTGACTGCACATTTTAAGATCAAGACCACAATAATTCTACTGAAGAGTAATATGTAATAGCTGAGTTGCAGCTGCACCATCCATGTGACATCCCTACACTTCTGCTAATTTTAGCCTGTTTTGTGAATAAAGTCTGTACAGATATGTACACAACCTGCCTCTCACCCAGTGACAGCTTGATGCCTTTTAGGATCCATTGCATCTATACCTACACAAACAGCTTGTGTGCCCCCTGTTGGCCAAAGCTTTAATTACAATGTACTGTCAGTAGCTTTACTAAAACTTGGGTTTCAAGTTCAGCTGCGTTTGTTTATGCTGGTATCAGCAGCAGCATCACG